AACCTGTGCCAGGGCCTCACCACCCTCACAGGGAAGGATTTCTTCCCAGTATCCTAAACCCGTTTTCTTTCAGTGTGTAGCCAGGTTTTTCAAACAGTGTATTTCAGCAGGAAAGGGAGGGTTATGCCACTAGTGCAGAGACATGGAGAGCATTCCCAATAACCACGGCTGGAAAACAGCAGGGAGGATACAGATCTACAATGTGGATAAACAAACTGTATGTGCTTAGTCCCAACTAACAACACTGAAGATACAGTCCACAAAAAAAAAATAATATTACAGAGATAGAAAAAGACCATTGCTAATTTGAATGCTAATTTGAAGGCTGCAAGTATATGTCAAAATCTGATTAAAATGTTCAATACCACGAGTATGTGTTGCCTTTTTTTAACTCCAAAACATATCAAGTGAAAGATATGAACTCCAAAATATATCAACATCAAACTCCGAAATATGTCAATATATCAAATCTCTGAGCATCTCTTCATAAAATACCTGGGATTTATAAGCAGAGGTTTATACATCCACAAAGTCATTTCTTCTTCTTCCCCAGAGTAAATTTGGGTGGGCTATAAACACAAACCTGCAGCCAGTTACAGAATATGCAGTGAATTAATACAGGCAATGATACCCTTTCAGAATGAATCTTTGCACACACCACTTTGCAAACCTAACATGAAACACGCTTTTATTTCTGTTTGGTGGTGAGCAGAGCAGCACATCTCACCCACACTCCTCTGGAAGCTTTACATGGTACAGAGCTTCTGTGGCTTAGTGCAGTAGTTGGTCCTGCCCCTCTCCCTGACACAGTCACTGTAGTCAGTGTTGCACTTCCCACACTTGCAGCTCAGAGCCACGGGGTAGGAGTAGTAGGGGACGGTGTGGTGAGGGCAGCCCGGGATCAGCGCTGTCTGGTACAACATCTCTTTGTACGTGCACACGTTCTGGGACAGAGCACTCTTGAGCAGCAGCTTCTTGCCATTGCTGTCCTACAAAGAAAAGAGAAATGTGTTGTTTTCGCTGAAGCATTTGCGTGTCAGAAACTCCCTGGGGAGTGCAGAGACCAAACCTCTCGTGCTTAGCCCGGCCTTGGCATTACTCTGTTCAGAGCTGTGGTTTTGAAGCTGCTTGTGGCTGGGGATCTCTCCACACATTGATGCATTCACCTTGTTCTTGTGGTTTAATTAATCCACTGGGCTCAGAGTGCTCCCAGTGCTTTGGGATCTGTGCTGGCTCCCTGCTGGAAGGGAACTTTAGGTGCTGTGTTGAGCAGTGAAGCTCAAGCACAATGTGTGGTGTGGCTACTGGAGAGCTGTTCCCACAGCCAGCTGGGATAGCAGCAGAGGGAGGAGAAGTAGCCTAAGTAATTTACATTAATTAAGTGACCAAATATAATCTGCCCCTCACTTCTTCCATCCTGCCCCCACAAACTGCCTCTCTGCTGTGCCACTGGTGTTACCAACTCCGTAGTCCCGGAGGCTTCGCATTCCTCATCCTTACCTTTGCAAAAACCTAACTTGGGAACGTGATGGTGGCGAAGTTTTCAGAATTAGATCATTTACACTCTGTTTTCTGCGAGAACAGGCCCTTGGGCTGCAGTGGTGTTACAGAAATACCTGCCTAAAGCAGAGCAAGGCCCCGTACCCGAGTCAGGCAGAATCCGGCGCAGATGGTGGTGTTGATGGCCAGGCAATAGGCACATTCCCGTTTTTCCACGTGGATTGTGTACTCAGAAGGAGCACAAAGTGAGGCTGTTTGTCCAAAAGTCAGGCCAAAGAGGAGAGACACCACAAAGAAAGGCCTCATGCTAGGTGGGGAAGAACAAACAAACAAACAAACAAAGCAAACTCCGAGTAAAATGGGATGTACCTTCCAGCCCTTTCCTTGGCATTCAACTGGAACAGTCAGGACAGTCACAGATTAGGAGTAATATTAATTTTTTTAGTTACAGCCTGACAACTTCTTTCCAATCTCAGACCTTTAATTGAAGTAGTACCGACTGCTAAACAGAAAACAAGGGTAAACAGGCCATTAAAAACAGCACAAATGCAATTTTCCCTCACTAAAGTATAATACATGGAACTTCTCACTAATGAGTGATAAAATGCTGACAAAGAAAAAATAACAGGAGCTGAAGGATTTGAAAATGTGACATGCTAGAGAATATGAGCTCTAGAATTAACCCAAAATATTAAAATAATCTCACTCGTTTAGAAACAATTTCCTAAGAAGACCATCATTTAAAATGTTCAAGAGAGAAAGAGACACAACTGTGCATATCAGGCATAAAACTGGATTTTTCAATTTCCAGTTGGCTTAGAGGAGTGATGAAACGGGAACACTGCCAAGAATTAAAAAACAGATTCAAGCAAATTACAATAAAGAACATCAGCAAAGAGTTCAACTCCACCAATCCCTCTCTGTCTGTCTCCTGTGCTGACCTCATTTCTCAGACCTGCTGGGGGATCCCGAGAACAAAGCCTTCATTAGCTCCAAGACAATTCCAGGAACTACTCTAGAGCCTCTAAATGACAAAATTTAAATGACAGTGTCTACCAACATCTGGCCATCACCCTCTAGTCTCTTCCAGCTGCCAGTTTCCCATAGGAAAGCCATTCATTTCAGAGCCTGGTTTACCCTGTAGCTGCCACAGTGAAAGTCTGGAAAGACCAACCTCTTGTCAGTGGAATTCTTCCCTATTACAGGAACCTGACTCTGCCTTGAGCTGGGAGAGGCAGTGACCCAGCACAAGCTCTGTGTGTGCTTTATACTCTCCAGGCTAATTCCAGGCTGATCTTACTGTTTATATAATTGCATCTGAATTACTGCTTTCTTATCACAAAGTCATCTATTGAAAATTCATACTGAACCACAAAGCAAATGTGATAGGAACAAACGTGTCCATAATATCCTAACCTGGAAACTGGAGCTGGAAATCTAATTATTTTAACAGTCATTCTCTCCTCAGGCTTTTAAACTAACCACTGCTTAAAAAATTAGTTTAATCACTGCATAGGACAGCAACATCATGGCAGGAAGGCTGGCATGGAAATGGACTCCTCCTGAATCTCAGATGATGGATTTTGCACCTGTGTTTTGCTAAAGTTTAATGAGGTCTGGTTCACTCTGTTTGCTGGTTACCAGGCAGGCACAGCTGGGAGATGATGGCACAGGTTGCCCAGAGAAGCTGTGGCTGCCCCATCCCTGGAAATGTCCAAGGCCAGGTTGGACAGGGCTTGGAGCAACCAGGGGTAGTGGAAGGTGTCCCTGCCCATGGCAGGAAGTGGGATGAGATGAGCCTTAAAGTCCCTTCCAGCCCAAACCATTCTGAGATGTGCTGAGTCCATGCAGTGCCCATAAAATAACAAATCTGCAATCAAAGCAGTTGCTCTGCAGTGCTTGGGTCCAGCCTGATTTCCCTGCTCAAGCAAAACACACTGAGAACTTCACTGGTCTTGAACCTACTGAGCAAATATTGAAGCAACAAGCAATTAAATCCTAATTGATACATTAAAAACGTTTACAAAACCACGCCTCACAGCACAATGAGAAACAAAATATTGCACCAACACCAAAGAGATGTCCCCAGAGAGGGGAAAACACTCACATTTAGGGCTTGGTGTATCACCTGGGAGGAGCAAGAGCAGGATGGATTCAACAAAGCTGCTGTTCTCTGTCAGCCTCTCCCCATGCTCCCTGTCTGCCGTTCTGGGAACACTCACCCCTCCAGGTAATCACCCAACTGCTGTTTGGAATTTGATCTGAGGGATGTCTTATGCAAGTCAGCCACATTCCTGATTTACGTGGCCATAAGAAATAGGAAAAACGTGAGTCTGGGCTGGTAAACGTGGTCACTTGGGGCTGTTGGGGCAGTGATCCAGTCCATCCCAGCTGGTGTTTAGTCAATTCCTGAGCAATATTGTCTCCTTTCTCTATGGTTTCAGACTGCTGCACACAGCTCTGTGTCCTGGGCTAATTTTCCAAGGATTTTTTGGGATAATATAATAGAGTTCTTGCTCTATTAACACTACCCAAATGCTTTTTCTTTCATAGAATCTTTAACTCTGGGTTCATTTCTACTGGATAATTTCTCAGGAATTAAATATAACTCTTTCTGGCTTAGGGACATGAGCAGAGTATTAATTGTACTCTCAGAAACATCTGTCCATCTCACTTAGCAACAGGAGACTTACTTTGTTACTACTCCAGCACGTTATTTAGCTCTGTGTTTTCCTCACATATTTTAGATACAAACACTCAGGCTCTTTGAGTATATACATACATAACCCAAACAAAGATTATATATATATATATATGTATGTATATGTGTGTATATATATATGTATATGTATATACACACTACATGTATGTGTATGGGTTTGGTTGTTTGAAGCTTTAATCACAGAAAAGAGTGTTTGTTCTTGGGAAATCTAGAGAGCATTTCAACAGAGACAAAGAATCCGAAAGGAAAAGGAAGCATTTCATAAAATTAAATCCCAGAGAGGACAAAAAGTGCTCAAAGTAAGAATTAAAAAGTAGCATTCTTAAAGCCAGGGTATCACATGTGACCCTTGCATGCACAGCTGATTCTCTCCTCTGAAGAGTTCACAGCTTTAGGCAGTTGGAGCTGGATTTGTGTACCCTGGACCTGACAGGGAGACCCCCACACCTGGGTTTGAAGTGTCTCAACACACCCAACAAGAAGAGAGGCAGAGAACAGGTCAGAGTGTGAAGACATATATTCTTTGCTTCCTCAAAGTGCTAGTTTCTCAGATTTGAGAAAAATAGGTGTAAGGAGGGGAGGATTGAGATTAGGGTAAAAAGGGTTTAAGAATTTGCTTTAACAAGATTTAGGGAAATGTCTGCAAACATCAGCAGCAAATTAGAACAGTGCTTGAAAGTCTACCATAGTGAAGATGAAAAAGAGAGTGCAACAATAAAAACTATAGCAAGAAAAAAGAGGAAAACCAACAACAATCACTGCTGGAAGTGAGAAAATGTAGAAAACTTGCACAGGAAGCTGGAGAGTAGGAAATCAACTTCTGCCAGGCCAGAGGCCAACAGTAAAGTCAAGGGACATTAGGAGATGAAGACAAGCTGTTGATGCAGAGTAAATGCAAAAGCTTCAGAAAGTACTTGTGCATTTGAAAACATAGTGGCTGAACAACCATCTCAAAGATTGTAACAAAGATTGTGAAATAAATCTTATAAGGAATAAGTATTTTAAACTCAACATGATTAGCTGCCTAATGCTGATTTCAACAGGTCTAGAATACTGAGGAAATATCAAAACATTTTTAAAAAGTGCTAATATTACAGCAATGTTTAAGGAGAGAGTGTTGACCCAGGTAACTCTCCACCAGCCAGGTAAAATAACAGAAAGCTGATACAGGATTTGAGCAATAAGGAATTAATGGATGAAAACATATTTAATGACCATCAAATGATGTTACATAAAATAGGTCATGCCACACAAACCCAATTTCGTTCTTTGCAGTGATTACAAATTTGGCTGTTAAGGCAATTACAGAGATGCAATGCCCTTGGTTCCATCTGTCCAGAGTCCCCCTGTCAGGAAGGTTTAGAGGTGTCAGGCAGAGCCCAGAGTGGTGGATGCTGAATGTTGGGAATTATCAGCCCCTGGAGCAGTGTAATCCCAGCAGTGCCTTTATTCCCTGTAATGTTTTTACCCAGACTCTGAACCCACCTCAGTGCACTACAGAAACACCTGACCAAAAGAGTGAAAATTCATTTATCTGGAAGGGCAATAAATTAGTCTGAGTGGACCTTGGGACTACTGTGAGTGCTGCTCCTCACACTCAGCTCAGCTCCACGCTCATGTGGGCACAGAATCTCCTGGCACTGCCTCTTCCTTGCTGGCACCACATTATTCTGCCCATCTGTCAGAGAGGCACAGGAGAGCACCAGGGTGACATTCACACACCTTCAGTGATCTAAGCAAACTATTCAGCTGTCAAAAACCCTCCTGGATCATCCTGGCTGTGACCATGGAGCTCATCCACTACTGACCTCTCTGAACACTTGATGGGAGTGAGATCCCACAACCTACAGGGAGCAGCAAGACAAAAGACTGGCAGGACAAGCAAATCCAGTGTCACAACCTGTGACTGCCCAAGGCTTCTTCCACACAGTTTCCCAAAATCCAGCATTATAAGTCTGATGCTTATGGATCCGTTTCTTCCACTGCCCTCCTGCTGACCTGCAGATAGTCAGTGATAGAAATTTTTGATGTGTTTTTATAGCCATCAGCTTTGCAGCCCTGTTCTGGAACAGCCAGTCACACTATTAATTATTTATCTTTAACCTTTCTCTTTGCTAAATCAATCCATTCGCTGACATCAGGGGTTTTACGCTTTCATTAAGTGAAAGATGGTGTGTTGATGTTCTACAGGAAGTGTTTCAAGTGATACCTGTAAATGGAATTTAGTAATTACAAAAATCCTGGGTTCATTCCCCAGGAGTCTCTGTAATGGGCTACAGAAATTCAGTGCATACCAGAAGCTCAGATGTGACAGCAATTTAATGGGATTCCCTGTCACTGACCAATGCCTAAGATAAAAGTAGGAACAAGGAGAAGTTATCACACATTATTCCTACTCACTCTGCCCCTGGTAGTAGCACAACACCATGAAAACTTCGTGGTCTCATGAGCAGGCTTCTCATGACAGCAGGGTCACTCTTGTTTCCACGACATATAGAACTGTGGGTGGTAAAACAAAAACATGTCCAAACTTGCACACAACTGAGAATTGGAAGCTCTGATGATGGAAACCAAACAAAACCAATCAGATTTCTGAAATATGAGTATTCTGGTAGAGGAATTATTTCCAACCCCGTCCTGCTGCAGCCCTCCACTGATAAAAGGAAATACAATCCTGATACACTGCCATAGAAACAAGTGTTTTTGCCAGATTTTGCATTTAAACAGCCCATGGCTGCTGAATTTTCAAAGCTAATCTGGCTGTTTCAAGTCTCTGTAACAGCCTAAAACACAGCTCCCATCTCTGAAATGTATAGATTCCCAGACGACTGCTCTTCTCTTTCTTTCCTAGGATTAGCTGCAGCATTTCCTATCAACCACAGATTAAAACAGTAAATCTCTTTGGTGCATATCATATGCCAGCAATCTCCATTTATGGTCTGAAAATACTCCCTAATCCTATTTGCTGTTTGGCTGGGACGATAGAGCTGCTTGGATTCGGTTTCATTTCTTTGGAAAGTGCTGGATCTTTGTTAGCCTGAGATACACAATCGCTATGCTGAGGGCAAAATTAAAACAAAAAAACCCAACCAACCAACAAACCACCCCCACCAAAGGCAAGCCAGAAGCCTTCTGCAGTATTATCAGTGAGGAATGATGATACCAAGCCAGGATCATAAGAATGCTGAAGGTAAAAGTCTGCCCCAGGTGTGACAGCCCAAGGCCACTCCCAGATTCCAACTAAAAATTAAAATGGCTGTAAGGAAGGGATAGGGAAGGCTGTTTCTCCTCAGGAACATTTCCCCTCCAAGATACTCCTGGTTAGAAGCAAGGCAAACCAAATTAAATACTTTGATAATTCAGGGGCAAAAAAAGGTTGTAGGAATAACACTGTTATCTGTGCTTTGTCACTCCTGGGTGAGTCCTAATTTCTTCAGATTTGTTCTTCTTATTTTCCACATTCTATTTTGCACCTTCTGTTCTTGAAGCTTTATACAACACAGATTTGTAAACACCACTAGGAAATGACTCTCAGTAGTGTCAAGGGACAGCTATATGTCCCTGGAAGTGCCTGCAAGTGCTTACCCTGTCCTGGAGTTTCAAATTCTGATTACATTCTTCCTGCTTAAGTAAGATAAAAAAATGTGAGCTTTCTCAAGTTGTCAAAATATTAAAAAAAAATTAAAGAATGTGCAAGGTAATTGTTTATTTTAGTCTTACCTGAATCAGTGAATTCACCACAGTTTGGGCTACCTAGTGGCAAATTAAAATCACCATCTGGGAATTTGTTAAACCCCTGCACAAATTACTTTATAGTAGATTGGTATAGAAGGATTATAAAACCCAGAAGGAAAAAAAAAAGTACAGCTAATGTGAAAATAGCATTTTTTATTAACAAATCAACTGCTTAAAATTTTCAAAGCCCAAGGTATTGGCAATGGTTTTGGAACTCTCTTATTTGCTTCTTACTTCACAGTGGGTTATCAAACTCTTGAGTTTTTGTGGTTTGCTTTATAGTGACCAAAGTGGAAGCTTTTGATGCCAAGAACTCATCAGCTGTTGTCTGTTTGTGCACAGGTGCATGGTAAAGGACTCAGAAAGCAAAATTACTTCTTTAAAGTCCAGCTGTTGATTTTTTTTTTCTTTACTCCCATGGGTAGTTCTAAACTACATCCGATTATGTTTCAGCATGAAAATGTCATTTCACAAGGTTTTTAAGTCACGACAGCTCATCTTGTAAATAGTGTAACTCATCTCCTGCCAGAACATCACATATGAATCCAAACATGTTTCACAAGGAGCCTCGAAGTTAAAAAAATAACTTGTTGAATTCCCATAACTCGGTGTGATGACAGAATATTTTCACAGCACATTTGATCTGGTAAGAGAGCAGGACATCGACGCCAGTGTGGGCAGCCAAGTGGGACACTGCTCGCTGTGCTGAATTACATCCAGCGTGGACCTGTCACTGGTGATGTACAGTCACAACACAGAGCAGATGCTCAGGAAGACGATTCCCTTCAGTTTTGATGGAGAATAACAGCAGAAATCTTTGAAATTAAAGCGGAAGGTGTTCCCCCCAGCACCAATCTTAGCAGAGTGCAGTGAAATGAGCTCAGAGCAGGGGCTTTCTCGCCAACGGAGAATCCCAGAATGGTTTGGGTTGGAAGGGACCTTGAAGATCATCCAATTCCTGCCATGGGCAGGGACACCTTCCACCATCCCAGGTTGCTCCGAGCCCCGTCCAGCCTGTCCTTGGACACTCCCAGGGATAGGACACCGTGTGTGGCTGGTTCGGGGCTCTGTCCCCGTGTCCCACTGGACAGGCCCCCTCGCCCCCCCCTCCTCCAGAGCAG